CCCAGGGAGACAGCTCAGGGGGCAGGAGTGCATGGAGAGATGGACACTGGGAAGAGGTGACTGTCGGGAGGAAGTGGGAGGGGAGCTGTTTCATTGTAGTGAATTGTGGTCAATGTCATGAGACAAAGTGTATGTGAACTGCTGTATGGAAAGTGAATTTGCTCTGTAAACTTTCACCCAAATCACAATAAAAAAATTAAAAAGAAAAGAAAAAAACTGTTCCATTGCCTCTTTGCTAGCTTCTGGTGGTTCCTTGGCAATCCATGGGGTTCCTTAGCTTTGTATTAGGGGAAAAGAGACCCCAAATTCAAACAGGTTCAGTAGAGGTACTTTTACTAAGCCTTGGACAGAACAAAGACAAAGACAATCATCCTGGATGAGGGAAATCATCAGCATGAGAAAGCTGAATGGAGTGTGCTGAGTCATGGCCATGTGACTAATTATATATGATATTTTTAAAAAGGGAATCATCACAAAATCATGATTGGTGGTAAATAGATTCATCATTGTTGCAGGTGGGACTACAGCAGCAGGGAAAAGACTGTGATTGGCATCTGAACTTATGTCAAGCCTGAAAGTGGAGTTAGAGTTCCCGTTGCAGACCACAGTCTTCCAAAAACCAAGTGCTTTAAAATTTAAGCTCTCATACACAAGGCACTTCTGGGTAGGTTCAAACTGCCAGCCTTTAAGCATTTAATCATTTACTCAACCCATGGTTGACCTCATATAAATTTTCTTGATAACAAGTTCTGAATTTGGGGTCTCTTTTCCCTATTTCCAAAGAAGGTCACATTTACATGTACAGGAGTTAGGTGCAACATATTTTTTCAGGAGACACAATTCAATTAATGTTGTTATGTGCCATCGAGTCGGACCTAACTCATAGTGACCCCTCCTTGGGTTTCCGAGGCAGTATCACTACAGAAGTAGATTGCCTCATCTTCCTTCCAAAATTCAATTAATAATACCAACTAAATATATTTAAACCATAACAACACTGCAGTGAATTGGAAGCAGAAACAGATATGCAACCACAACTGCCTTTCACTGAGATTTTTAAAAATTTAAAACTCTGCCACTCTTCTCACTAATTATTTTTGGAAAATAGTAATTTTTTTTTTCACCAAAAATACTCATATTAAAACTGAAAGGATTTATGATTGTTATATTTAAATAAACAGTTTTATATTTTCTCAGTTTTAATTTATAAATATTTATAGATACTTCCCATATATAAAAGCTCTTTAGAGTTTTACATACTTTCTAAGAGTATAAGAGTCCATGAGACCAAAAACCTTAAGGAATTCTGGTTTACAGGATGAAATCAAACCTCTGTATATGGTCCAAAAGTCCCTCTGTCATATGGCTTCTGTTATGTGTCCCGACTCTTCTCCTTCCTTATTTCTCTTCCACATTGTTTTTCATGAAATGGAAATACTTGACTTTTCTCCAAAAGACCATGCTATTTTCACATCTCTGTACTTTTGCTCAGTGATCTTTTTCTATGAATGTATTTATTTTCCTTTAGCTTTTTGTTTGACATACTGTCTCCCAATGCCACTTGGGAATTTCATCTCTGGTAAGCTCTTTGTTTTGAATTCTACTTTATCTTAAATAATATAACAACTTCAGTTTTCTTAAAAGGAGTTCTGGTTGGGTAGTTCTTAAAGCATTTGACTGCTAATGAAAAAGTTGGCAGTTTAAACCCACCAGCCACTCCATGGAAGGAAGATGGGGCAATCTACTTCTGTAGAGATTTACCACCTCAGAAACCCAAAGAGAGTCACTGTGAGTTGGAATTGACTCGAAGGTAGTGGGTTTTTTTTTTTTTTTTTTTAGCTTTTTTTAAGCTTATTGTTTTCATGATACATCTTTTATTCATCTATTAACACATTGAATCCATTTACCTGTGTATTTATATTTAAAGTTGGTTTCTCCTATAGTCAGGTCTTACTTTTTTATCAGTCTGAAATTTCTTCCCTTTTTTTGTGGGAACTTCCAGTCTGTTAACATATACTGAAATTGTTGATATGATTGGTTTTAGGTCTTTTTGTTTTTATTTTTCCCTTAGGTAGTTTGGATTTTATGTTTCTCTTTTCTTTAGGATTTCATTTTAATTTGTTCTTTTTCAGTGTCTATTTTACTTTAGCATGTGACATCATCACATAAGGAGCCTGATAAAGCAAAGATTTCTGTCAAATTACAAATTAATAATGAACTAAAGTATAAAACTAATAATATTTAAGTTAACAGCATCCATGTAACAGATGTTGTTTACCAAAACTAAATCACCACATTTGATATGAATATGGTACAGACTGCTTTACTAGGTGTGGGTCTGTTCTACTATGGTGACTCAATAGTCCACCACTTTTCTGTTTCTGAACATTTGAGAAACTTTTATGTCTGCAGCATGCTATGATATCATTGGACCTTCACTTGGTACAAATGTATTATTTGAGAAATAGATCTGCCTCTGTCTTTTTCTCATTCCTCAGCCTGCTGCAATTAAAACAGCACTACTTGACCACAGTTATATACAAGCATTTCTCACTTTACAAATGACCGATTCATGTACAACAACCCATAGTTACAAACCAATTCCATAAACCTATTACATTAAAAGTTCAAGGTACATACAGTAGTTCATAACAACAAATGGGCATTACTTTGTGACACAAATCAAAACATTATTATTACTATATCATTATGTTAAAGATGTTTTAGTGTATCTTTAGTGTTTTTTTATGCATAGAAAGGTGTAATACATGATATATATTAAGACAGACATTTGACAAAGTGACGTTAAGTAGGAACCCCATCTCACTCTTCCCACTTATGTATAAATTTGACTTAAAGACAGACAGGAATGTTTGTGGTCTGGGGACTGCCTGTAGTAAATAAAAACGCATATATGCATATTCGGCACTAAGACAGCTTAGTGATTTAGGGTCCCTAGGTGAACATTTAGATTAAGAGTGGTGTGTGTGTGTGTGTGTGTGTGTGTGTAGAAGAGAAAGAATCTTAATTGACTTAAAAGAAAGAAAATTAGAAGATTTTCATACAAAACTGATGGTCTCAATATCAGCCGTAGACCTCCAATCTACAGACGTTGTTAGGAAGATAATTCATCTATGGGATAAAGACCAATTCTGTTATCAATTTGCATTTGACCTTTTTTCCTTTTCAGCTTTCCCCCCCTTTCTTCTTACCATCATGTAAATGTGCTCACAGTTTCCCAATTTTTGCTTCTCTCCTCTTGTTCCCTGGCTCCTGTATTAGCCCAGCTATCTATAGGCTTTAAGGCCTGATGTATGTTCTTAATTTCCCTTGAAATTTCCATTCACCTCTTCAATATTAATTTGATTTTTCTTCTCTTTTGATTTCTTCCTTTAAACACCTTCTGTATCTAGGGCTTTGACATTTATTTATATTTTTTTGTAATGTATTGCTTTAATTTTTTGTCTGTGGTAAATATATATGTACCAAATTGTTAAGTCTTTTCAATATTCTTCACATGTGCAATTCAGTGACATTAGTTATGTTTTTCATGTTTTTTAACCATTATTTATTATTTGATTTTCATTTTCACTAGCTCATTAGACTTCAGGGTCCTTAATGGCAAAAAAGAATATCTTAAAAGTTTTTTTACATTATTCTTGGGGCAGTTGTTGATATTCTTGAAGCACTTACCGTTAAGTAACTTAAATGATTAAATGTAATGCTCAGTGTTAGGGATTTAGTTTATCCTACAAAAAAAAAAAAAATGTGACTTCTTTATATAGAGTATAAGCATAGTGCTTTGATGTAGAAAAATTTACATTTCTAAGATACTAAAACACCTTAGAAATTTTGAACTCCTTTTTTCTGCATTTACAGGACTGCTTGGAAAAATCCTGATGGCTATTCGAGATGCAGGTTTTGATATCTCAGCTATGCAAATGGTAAGTAGTTTGCAATGAATTGTCATTTATTAAGAAATTTTTAAGTAAGTTTTTAAATATTTTATATTGAATTTCTCTGTGTACTCATGAATTCATCTCATTAAAAATAATTTTTATTGAAATCACTTTTATAATAAAATTTTTTAATGATTTTACCCATATAATCTTCCATTGGGAAAGCTAATATTCACATTTATAAGATAAATTTATACAAATCCTGGAACTTTATTTGCAAAATAAATAAATACTGAAAAATATATTCAGTCCCTATAAAAGTAAAACAAAAGAAAGCTGGGCAGTTTTAGTAAGTTTTCTCTCCTCTGGATTTCTGACTAATCAGAGAATGAAAGAAGAGAATTAGTTCTGACCTACCTGTTCCCTCACCAGTGTCTTTTGCTGATTTCTAGATTTTTGCCTTAAGACCTTCCTTGGAGTGACCATAGTTCAGCCCCCATGTTGGCAGTTGTTCTGCTGGATCTCCAGAGCTCACACTTATTTAAATTGCCCTACTGACACATTTCTAGGAAACCCTTCTTAAAAGAAACCACATCCACTTCTGAAGAGGCCATACCTTTGTGCTGTCCTCACTAATACTTTTGACAAGAAATCAGATACTGTATTATTATATGAATCAGATAAACAATTTGATATGTTCAGTATTTGAAGGCTAGCAAGTTTATACTATTTTCGTAGTGAAATACCAAAATATTCATTTTAAACCGATAATTTATTTAACCAGTATTGTTTATATTCACTTTTTCTAAAGAGGAATTGCTTTTGATTTCTGTGAAGTCTCAGCATTACTCAAAATTAAGGGTCAGGGTCGAACACTAACTAGGTCTGTCCATTTCGTGTCCCTGGTTTTGGGAATATCTATAAACCAAAAAATGTCTAGAAATATCAACCGGTTTGAAGAATTATCAGGCAAAACTTAAACATTGTCTTAGTTATCTAGAGCTACTATAACAGAAATACCACAAGTGGATGGCTTTAACAAACAAGTTTATTTTCTCACAGTTTAGGAGGCTAGAAGTCTGAATTCAGAGCACTAGCTTGAGGCAAAGGCTTTCTCTCTCTGTCGGCTCTGGAGGAAGGTCTTTGTCTGTTCGGTTTCTGCTTCCTGGTTCCATGGAGCTCTCCATGTGTCTTGGCATCTGTTTTGCCCCATCTGTGTTTAATCTCTATATATTAGAAGAGATTGACTCGAGACACACCCTACACTAACCCTACTTCATTAATGTAACAAAGAGAACTCATTCCCAAATGATATTATAACCACATGCATAGAGATTAGGATTGACAATGCTTATGTCTTGGGGGACACAATTCAATCCATAACAAAGACTGAGAAGAAAATTGATATTTGAAGAATATTACCTACAAATAGAAAAACATTGTTAACCAGAACTTTCTAGAGGTGACCTAAGCCCATTTAAAATAATTGGGGAAATTTTAGCTTTAAATATTAACTTCATGTAAGATCTATAACATAGCATAGTGATTGCCCATACATAGTAGTTGTTTGTCTTAGTTCTCTAGTGCTACTATAACAGACATACCACAAGTGGATAGCTTCAACAAACAGAAATTTATTCTCTTACACTTTAGGAGGCTAGAAGTATAAATCCAGAGTCCCTGCTCTAGGGGCTCATTGAAGACCCGTTGACCTTGGTCTTCAGCTCTGCCTCTTATTTCAGGCCCACTGGAGCTAGAGGCATCTCCTGACTCAGCTGGCTGCCGGCTGCTGAGGCTGCCAAACCCAAGGTCAGCAGGTAAAATGGCACAGTCCCAAGATCAGCAGGCAACACAACAGGCCAGGAACAATCCCAGATCGTCAGGCAACATGGCATACCACTGGTTTAAGTCCAGGAACTGGAGATGAAAACTCAACCAAATGCAAGTTCCAAATGTGCCAAAAGCTGGAGACCTTTCTCAAAGCTTCTTACATACTGGAAACAGGCCATACCCCGAAGGCAACTACTTAGCTGCTCACAGCAGATTCCATAATGGAGTTGATTATACCACCTTCTGTCTCATTGTGAGGATAACCACATCCAGCTGCCAAGACACTCAAATTGATGGCCCAGACATGCTGACACACAATTTTAAATACCACAGTGTTCAATAAGAAAAACCAAAAACAAACCAAACCCACTGCCATCAAATCAATCACAACTCATAGTGACCCCATTGGGTTACTGAGGCAGTAAATCTTTAGAGGTAGATTGCCCCGTCTTCCTTATGTGAACTGTCTGGTGGATTTGAACCACTAACCTTCTGGTCAATATAGTCAAACAAATGCCTTAGACATTGTGCCACCAGAGCTCCTTCAATAAGAAAAAGAATAATAATAAAAAAAAATGATTAACTGAATTTTAGAGAGAAGTCCTGGTACATGTGGTGCAAGTACACTCATGGATATTTTTTTCAGTCAGAAAAAGCTGAATCCTGGGTCAGCTGCTTTCTAAGAATGTGACCTCGGCCAAGTTTCAAGCATTCTTATCTTCAGTTTTTTCATATATGTAATGAGAACATTTTTATGCTTCAGTGAGTTATTCTGAGGATTAAATGAAAGAATCGTGCATAATACTTCACAGAGTTTCCAGCACAAATTCCAAAAGAATAAATGATGTTTTCTGTTGTTATTCTACTGTATTAATAATACAAACAAAAAGTGTGGATATAGCATAAAACCCTGAATATAAACAGAATTCCCTGTCTATAATAGTTATGTTGCCTGTTAAGATAAATCCTCCCGGCTTGAATATTGTTTCTGTAGACAGAAATTTCAGTGACCTTTACTCCTGCCAACAATAAAGAAGTAAAGTATGGAGAGAATTCTGAAGCTTTTTTTTTTTTTCTTAATTAAGGTCTTGGTTCTTGAGACCCTATAATTTAATTTTTTCCAACTAAATTTGAATCCAGTCTTTATAAGAATGAGGTTTTGCATTCTTATCTCATAAACATATATTGTCTCAAAAAAATTTTTTTGGAGAGGACTTATATAAGCGCTTTATTATGAACCAGATTAAGAATTTTCCCAAAAAAAAATGATTGAGGGGAAAAAAGTATTATTTTCACCTCTTTTAATATGTTTTCTTGTGCCAAAAATCTGTCAATAAACAACATTACATTGTATATAATTCTTTTATTTTGTATCTAGGATGAAGTTTTATTCAGAGAGAGGTATACTATAGTGGTTAAGAGTATGATCAGTGGGATCAGATTGTCTGAGATGGAATCTGTAAATTGAAGATATTGACTCTGTCTTGATCATAGGTTTGTTGTAAAGATTGAATGAGTTGGTGCATACATAGAAACTAGAACAATATCTGATATATTAAGTACTCAATAATTGTTAGCCATTTGTATTATTGAGGTAATCTTTAATAATGCTTTTCCTTCAAAGAGTATTTAATTTATGAGAAGTTTATATGTTCATGTAAAAACAATATATCCAAGAGATTATAAAAGTTGGTGCTAAATATTTTTCTTTTGTTGATTGGATTATTCATTTATTTCTTTGATATAGTTTAACATGGATCGGGTTAATGTTGAAGAATTTTATGAAGTTTATAAAGGAGTAGTGACTGAATATAATGTAAGTATTGAAGTGAATGTAAAACATTGGTACCAAAAATAACTTTTGTATCTTAGGGGTCTCAGTGTAATATAGAATCATGAAAATACTCCTTAAATAGTCATAGTTTGCCAGCTGACCATACTAGCTGACTGAGGTGTTTTCTTACCTGAGAATCAATGGATAGTCTTGAAAAATATGATAGTTTAATATATGAAACAAATATAGACAGATATGTAAACAAAAAACTTGCTGGATGTTGACACAGTTTGACATTTTCTGCGAAGTTTATAATATTCTGAGAGGGGAGAACTATTCAAAGTGTTTTAGAAAGTTAAAAGCAAATAGCTCTTAAGCTTATAATATAACTGCACAGCAAAACTTAATACCTACTTTAAAGACACAGATGCTGATAGAATCACTTGAAAATGTGACTGAGACTGAAGAAATAATGGTATTTAAGAGAAGTTATTCAAAGGGCACTGAGATGTATCATTGGAAACATGGGACTATATTCAAATAAGTCAAATCTTGCTCCTTAAAATAGCAAATAGTAGGTATTTGATAAATGTTAATTTCCTTCCCCTCCTCTTTATCAAAATATCTGAGACACACTTGTGCCAAATCCCTGCCCATCATCCATGTTGTTTTCTATAGTTTTGGTTATTCTTTTTGCATATGTAATAAAATGCAGTATTCATGACAAACTAGATACCCCTCTACTTACTTCTCATTCCATTTCCTGTCAGCCTACCTTTAGAAAGGTATAATGTGCTTCTCATTTATAAGAAATGGACTGAGCTTTTATCTTACTTTACATAGTAAAGGACACTTAGGAAATATTTTATTTTGTATCTGGCATATTGGTAATGTTCTATTCTTCTATAGAGACTAGAGTTGTTTTCCTTTTGTTGTAGTTTATCAAACTTTAATCTCATCAGCTTCTTCAATTTAGAAGTATTCCTGCTCTTTTCTTAAATAGAAGAGATTTTAAAATATGATCTTATAAACCAAGATAGAATCTATTAAATTTTCCTTCTTTTCTTGGTTCTATTAGACTTTTAAAAATATATAGTTAGAAGGCCAACTACTCTCATTAATTCCTGTTACAAATATACCATTGATGTTGAGTTTTTTCTGACACATAGAAACCCTATAGAATGGAGTAGAACTGCCTCACAGGGTTTCCAAGGCTGTAAATCTTTAAGGAAGTGGACTGCCACATCTTTCTCCTAGAGAGCAACTGATAGGTTGGAACCTCCAACCTTTTGGTTAGCAGCCTAGCACTTAACCACTGTAGCTGAATGGATGTGTATTTCCCCTATGAAATCAGTAGTTTGGCTGATAGTAGCAATTCCATTCCTTAATACTGGGATAGCTAGAATGGTTGGTTTTGATGTCTTCCCTCTATGTAATTTTCTCAGTAAGGTATTCAGTATAGTTACTATTTAAATCTTATTGTAAAAACAACAACAACAACAATCAAACTCACTGCCGTTGAGTCAATTCTGATTCATAGAGACCACCATTGAGTTTCCTTCCATGAAGCAGCTGGTAGGTCTGAACCACTGACCTTCTGATTAGCAGCCAGATGTGTAGTAATACTAAAAAAGCCTACCTAGAATAAAGAATATGTGGGTTCTTAGGAAGTAAAAAGTTACCTTATTGCAGAATGGGAGCTCTGGTGGTATAGTGCCTAAGGCATTTGACTGCTAACCAGAAGGCTGATGATTCAAGCCCACCAGCCACTCCCTGGAAGGAAGGTTGGGCAATCTACTTCCATAGAGATACTGCCTCAGAAACTCAAGGAGGGATCACTATGAGTCGGATCCGACTCCATGGCAGTGGTTGTGTTTTGTTTTGCATTATTTCAGAATAATTATTAGTTTTGTGAGTAATTTTTGGTAATGCTCATGATTATTTAGGTTTAAACAACTTAAAATAGACTTGCAAAATGGCATCTAGTCAGTAGTCCTCACATTAATACCCTCTAGCATCAGAGTGCCTGAGAAATTAGGTGCGGCAGTTTGAAATAGGGATTCTGGTGCTTTGAACAGCTCACTGAGAGTGCACCAAACTCAGGGGAGTAGGATTAGAAAGGAGAAAGGGGCAGGGTAAAAATAACAAAAACAGTAGTCTCTCCTGCAGAACACCGACCAGCAGGCGAGAAAGGCCATTGGAGACTTCCCTGGATTAAGGAAGGAGATGCACCATATCAGTATACCAGCACTCACCCCATGGATCTACCTTCAGCTCCTGCCTTTATCAGTAAACTTGAGTCTGCTGGGTGCAAGCGGGCACTTCCAGCACTGCTGAAACCCAAGCAGAGACCATTAATGCCATGAGTGGGCGGGCCCTGGGAGGAACTCCCACAGTGGATTGCAAGAAAGGGCTTGGGCCAGCTTTTTGGCATGGTGGGGCCAGTGCTTGACTTTGTCGGTAATCTTGGGTCCACTGGGTGCAAGTAGGCATTTCCCTCCACCCAGCACCCCTAAAACCCAAGCAGACAGATCATTGGTGCCACAAGTGTGCAGGCCCTGGGAGGAACTCCCACGTTGGATCATGGTGTGGGCCGGCACCACAAGTGCACAGGCCCTGGGAGGAACTCCCACGGTGGATCGTGGTGTGGGCCAGTTGTCTTGGGTCGGCTTTTTGGCATGGAGGGGCCTTGAGAGTGGGGTTTTAGCATGTGTCTGAGCCTGGCGAAAAGTGGTGACCCCCTAACAACTGGAGGCTTTGCTGAACTTGAGCTGCGGGCCTGTGAATAACAGTACAATATCATCATTAGCAGCCTGCTCAAAGCCCTAGAAACTGCCCCTAGCAACGTGGAACTTCCCTTCTTTCTCTCTTCCACTCCCACCTTCTCTACCAATATCCTCACTCATCCAACAGAAAAAAATCATATTCAGCCACCATAATATCTCCCAGTCAAACTTCCCCCATATCATGAAGGAAGAAAAGAATATTTGTCCAAGAAGCTCATAGAACCCCATACAAGGTAGATCCCAAGAGAAAAACACTGAGGCTATAAACACTTGACCAAACTCTCCAAAACAAAGACAAAAAAAAAAAAAAATTGCAAGTTGCCCGGGACAAAGGAAATATTATTTATAATAGTCAAACAGTTAGGCTGAACTCTGATTACTCAGCAGAAACCATGAAGGCAAGAAGGCAATGGGACAGCATATATAAAACACTGAAGGAAAAGAACTTCCAATCAAGAATCCTATATCCAGCCAATTATCCATCAAACATGAGGGCAAAATCAAAGCATTCCAAGACAAACAGAAATTAAGGGATTTTGTGAAAACCAGACCAACCCTACAAGAAATGCTTAAGGAAGTCGTTCCAATAGAGAACCCACAACAAAGATCAACAAAATCAGGATACATGACATCAACACTAAAACCAAATCAGAAATAGAAACTCAAAATAAGACCATAAAATATTGTACACTAAAAATCAAGGAAGACAATCTGCACATGACAACAGCCACTAACCTATTAGAGGGAATAAAACTTCTAGGTATAAACTTCCAAATGAAGAGGAAAACAGGACAATGTCTTTATAGAATACACTATTCTAAAGATGTAGAGAATAGAATGTACTCCAAGGTAACCACAGAGAAAATTAACAAACCCCCTAAGCAAACCCAGAAGGGAGGAACACATATGGGTTTAATAAGCACAAAACCACCAATAAAGAAGAAAAGAGAGGAAGCATTTGATAACAAATCAAACTCAACACAGAAAAGTATATAGACCGAGAAAACACCAACAACATGACAGTAAAACACAATAGAAAGACAGCAATCAGTTCATATCTATCACTAATTACACTCAATGTGAGTGGACTAAATGCACCAATCAATAGAAAGAGAGTGGCAGACTGGATAAGAAAAGAAGATTCATTGATATGCTGCCTATAAGAGACCCACCTTAGACACAAAGATAAAAACAAATTAAGAGTTAAGGGGTGGAAAAAAATATATCAAGCTAACGGTAATCAAAAAAGAGCAGGAGTGGCAATGTTAATTTCTGATAAAATAGACATTAAGGTGAAAAACATCATAAGAGACAAGGAAGGACATTATATAATGCTGAAAGGGTCAGTTGACAAAGATGTTATGATAATAAATATGCACCCAATGAAAGTGCTCCAAAATACGTGACACAAATATTGACTGAATTAAAAGGGACAATAGATAACTCTACAATAGTGGTAGGAGACATCAACACACCACTTCCAAAGGGGGACAGGTGAACTGGAAAAAAACTCAACAAAGATACAGAAGAGCTCAACAATACAATCAACCAACTTGACCTCATAGACATATACAGAACATTTCACCCAACAAAAGTACAATTCACATTCTCTTCCAGGACACATGGATCCTTCCCCAGAATAGATCATGTAAGGACGTAAAACAAGCCTCAATAAATTCAAAAGCACTGAAATACTGCAAAGCATCTTCTCAGACACAGTGCTATAAAATTAGAAATTGACAACAGGAAGATCAAGGAAAAACCATCAAACGTGAAAGCTGAACAATTCACTGCTCAAAAAGTACTGGGTAACAGAACAAATAAAAACTGAAATAAAAAATTACTAGAAACAAACAAGAATGCAGATACAATGGGACACAGTGAAAGCAGTACTCGGAGGACAGTTTATAGCAATAAATGCATACGTCAAAAGAGAGGAAAGAAGCAAAATCAACACTCTAACTTATCAACTCCAACAACTAGAAAAAGAACAATAAATGAATCCTACAGTATCTAGAAATAAGGAAATAATAAAGATCAGAGCAGAAATAAAAGAAACAGAAAATAAAACAAAATCAACAAAACTAAAATCTGGTTCTTCAAAAATATTAATAAAATCAATAAAACATTGGATTTAACAAAAGAAAGAGAAGATCCAAATCACAAAAATTGTAAACAAAAGGGTGTCATCACAACAGAACCAGCTGAAATAAAAAAGATTCTGACAGAATATTATGAAAAACTGTACCCCAACAG